GTTTCCTGTTACAGGAGGTGGCGATTCACTATAAGCGCCGCATAGTCCTTTTGATTATAGGGCCACCAATTTCATCAGACGCTGTCCAAAGGCATCAAGTGCAAAAAACCCTCCCTGGGGAAGACGCAACCGGGGAGGGGGAGGGGAGCGGGGATGTGACGGTGGTGCCAGTGGCAGGCCACCGCCAGCCACCGCCTCCCCCCCCCTTTCCCCCCTCCCCTCTTTCTCCTTGGCAGGCCTCCACTACCACCACCGCCATACACCCTCTCTGACATGGGTGTGGTAGAGGGGAGGGAGAGGGGGAGGGGATGGTAAGGACGTACTCTCGGTGGTGGCAAAGGCCACAGGTGCAAAGGGGGAGGTAGGGGCGGTCGCCATAGCTCGGTTCAGAGGGGGGGTGCGGTGGGGTTAGGTGGCTGTCGGTGGTGCGAGTGGGAGGGTCAGTCGGTTGTGTGGCGTGGCGTGGCGTGATGGTGGCGTGAACGATTATTTGTCACTCAAAGCGCCCACTCGATGGCTGACCGACGTGAGGCCATTCGTTCTTCATCGCGATAGGTTTACCAGTGGTTGGGTGGTGTGGTGGTGAGGGGCAAGGGCTTCAACGCTTGCTCTTGGCTTGGACAGGCTGCCGCAGGATGGCAGTCCGCTTGGCAGGCGTTCCAACAAAGGCGAGGATGACCGCGAGCTGGTTGAGGAGCGAAAAGGCCGACGTCAGCTGCGCTTCGGTCTCGCTCGTCTTGCTAGCGCCCGCTTCAGCTGCCGCCTCGCCAGATGCCGTCGCCTCGTCACAGCTGTCACCGTCGACCGCGTCTACATCGACTTTGCCGGCCAACCGGTCGTTTCCGAGCAGCGAGAGCTCGATGCCGTCGACCGAATCGGCGTGGCCTAGTGAGGGCGCGGGCGGCAGCGCTGCGGCTGCCGGGGCCGCATTTGCAGGCGGCCCATCGCCTCCGCTGATGTTGATGTCGAGCGGCGGGTGGCGGGCGAGGACGTCGCGGAACGCGCCTTCTGCAACAGAGTTGGCAGCAACCACAAAGCCGGCGGTAACCCCCAGTGCGGCCGAGGTGACTTTGTCAGGAAGTGGGGCAGTAGCGAGGACCGACCCAGCCTGCGGCGGCGACGGCGCCGCCACCAGATCGTCGATGTACTGGTCAAGCGCAGGCGCGTTGGCCTCGAGGAATTCGTTGAGCGGGATCATGTACGGCTCCTTGCCGCCAAACATGACCTTGTTGGCCAGGTTCTGCAGCACCTTGGACAGCAACGTTAGCTGCCGCCGGATCGCTGGCTCGGGCGGGTGCGGGAGAAAGCCTACCGACTCGGGCGCAGCAACGGAGGAGCAGAAGAAGCGCAGAAAAAGAAAGCCAGAGACGCCGCGCGCAGCGCCGACCGGTCCAAACCGAGCCCCGACGCTGGCGTGTAGCGTCTGGCAAATGGCCACCATTCCGGGCGGCATTTCGCGCCGCCCCCGCACAATCGACGACAGCACCTTTTGCGCAAGCGCAGAGACCTCGTACCGTGACACAGCCACGTCCTCGGTTCCGCTCCCGCGCGTTGCGTCCAGTTCCATTGCCTTGCCCTCGTCGGCGCCCGCGAGCTTGTAGTACAGCGTCACGACGTGGACGCCGACCACCTGCCACAGGTACTCGAGGCCCACCATCCGCGCGTACGCCTGCATCAGCTTGGTCGCCGCCGAGTTGGTCCTGAACAACGTGCCCTCGTCCGCCGCCGCTGCCACCTCGACTCGGATGCGAGAGAGAACAAGCCCGAGACCCGAGCCGGACTGTGAGCCAGCGTAGCTGTACAGCATCGCCTTGCACGCATGGTCGAGATCGCCGACCGAGAGCGAGTCAAACAGGGCATGCGCCAGTGCAAACTCGCCGCCGCGTGCGTCGGCCACAAAGAGCGGGCCAAGCGCCGCTGCGTTGGCCACTAGCGATGCCGTCGTCGGCTCCATCTCAGCCGTCGCATACCCGTAGAACCGGAACGGCTCCAGGTCGGGCATCTCCAGCCGTGCTGCCTCGGCTCTCCGGCGCCGGACCACAATTGCGGCGGCCACTCCAGCCGCAATGCATCCGAGCAACACAAGAACGCCCACCACAGAAGCTCCGGCCACCGCACCCGAGTTGGATTTCGGCGGCGCGGCCACAACCCGCGCCTCGCAGCTCGCGGCAGGCTCAAAGCTGTCATCCTTCTCAGTACACCCTGGATCCATGCCGCTGCACACCAGGGGAACATCACATGGTGAGTCTTGCTTGCACACCTGTCCCGAGACAACAAGATTGTCGACGGGGCAGCTGAACGCGCCAGCCGTGCAAAACTCGGCCACATCGCACGGGCCGGCCGCAGGGCGGCACTCGGTCGACGCAGGCTTGAGCGTCCGTGCCGGGCACATCGCGGACACGCCGCTGCACCGCGCCTCGTTCTCGCACTCGCCGCGGGCTGCCGCACACACCGTGCCAAACGGTAGGACAACGTCGATCGGGCAGAGCGCAGAGAGCCCGTTGCACTCTTCGGCCAGGTCGCAGCTGGTGTTCGCCGGTCGACACACCGTCCCTGCCGGTGCCAGCGTAAAAGCCGGGCACTCGGGTCCGATGCCGGTGCAGAACGCGTCTGTTGCGCATACCGATGGCGCTGTCGCACAAAGCTTGGTGTCCGGCTCAAACGAGTCTGACGGACACGTCGGCGATACGCCGTCGCAGCTCTCTTCCACGTCGCAGCGACCACGCGATGCGCGGCAGACCGAGGTGCGCATAACCCGCGGTGGACAGTTGGGCCCGCTGCCGGTGCAGACCGACGGGAACGAGCACTCGCTCCCCGCCTCGCACATCGTGCCACTTGCCACAAACTTGTCGGTCGGACACTTGGTCGATACCCCGTCGCACGTCTCGGCTACATCACACGTGTCTGCTGCCGCCCGACAGACCGTGCCGGCAGCCGCAAGTCCAGGCGGTGGACAGGTGATCGAGCTCCCGTTGCAGACTCCAGGTGTGGCGCAAACGTCGTCAGCGGCGAGCGAGGTGCAGACAGAAAGCGCGGGGAGGAAGTCGTCCTGTGGGCAATCGGTTGCGTCGCCGGGACAGAGCTCGGCAGCGTCGCAGGGTCCGGCCTTGACGCGGCAGATCGCAGTGGCAGGCGCAAACAGGCACGAACTGGTACAACACGCGCTCGTCTCGTCACAGTTCTCGCCAATGTCGACGATCCCGTTTCCGCAGCCGACGTATTGCAGATCGATAGTCCCGCTCCAAGTAGTGCCGCCGTCCATCGAGACCTCGACGCTGCTCTTCCACATCGAGCCTGCGCTCGCGCCCACTAGAGCAGGATCCGGTGCCGTGCACACCACCGAGCTCCCATCCGCGGCCACGCTTACAGCTGCCGCCTCGGACGCGCCTCCACCGAACCGGCAGCGGATCTCCTGAGACGCCGCGTCGGGCGAGGTCTGCAATCCTGAGCCAATAACCCGAAACTGCTCGCCGCTCGTCACCGCTGCAGGGACATGACCCGATACCACCGCGTTCATGCTATAGTACACCGTCATCGTCGGCCCAGTCGAGCCGCCGTGCCGGATTTTGAGAACCGCACCCGAGTCGGTGCCTGACACCGCCAACGCCCATCCAAAGTTGGGCGAGGCAAGGTCGTCAGGCGTGAGTGAGGCCAAGCCCCACGTATCGGTCGGCCCACCGTAGGTGATGGACCCAAACGATGAGGGCCAGTTATCGGTATTGGCTTTGTTGACACCAGCTTCTGTACCACTTGCGCCCAACAGCCTCACTCGAGCATCACTCCAGGTTCCAGATGATCGCTCTCTGAGATAGGTCAGAGATATGCCATCGATAACTGCGGTAGTTGGCAGCGCAAACTTGGCGTTGAAGCACCTCAGCACTTCTGAACTGGCATCACTGCCTGTATTCTCAAAGTTATCATTGTCCGAGGGCAAAAGTTTGGTCCATCGACGTGACGATGTCGAGCCATCAGCCGAAGAAGAGCAAATCTCAGTGCCTGTCCGCCAATTCCGCACTTGAGAGTAGCTCTGTCCCTCCACCACCGCCACCTCCGCCAGCAAAATCGCCACTATAGTAGAGAGCAAGCAGAGCAGGGTGACTCGGAGTGTCACAGCGCCAGCCGCATGAAACCGCAACGTCATTCTGGAATTGAGAGGGGGGGAGGAGGGAGGGAGGGAGGGGAGGAGTGAGGTATGCTCTGTCCTCCGGCCAGTCTCCCCGCCCCCCGGGCTCCCGTTCCGTGTGCCTGACCGCACGCGAGCCTTTGGCACCCCCCTTCTGGGGGAAAAAAAAAGGAGAGAGAAGGGGGAAAGGGGGGAAGGGGGGAGGGAGGATGTGTTTGTGTTTGCCATGGACAACGCGAGTGGGAGTAGGCAGGGATGTGGCTCGGCTTGGTTGCTGCTGTCACGATGTGAGCAGATCCTTGAGGCGCACCGGCTCTGGGAGGAATGCGAGACACTGCGCAAGCTGCTCGGCAAACGACGCGGCTGTCGGTTCGGTCGGGGGCGTGGGATGGCTGGAGGCAGCAGCCTTAGCGGGCTCGGTGGCGGCAGGCTCAGCTCCGGCGGGCTCGGGGGTGGCAGGCTCAGCGGTAGCAGGCTCAGCGGCGGTAGGCTCAGCGGCAGCTTCAACATCAGCGAGGCCGTGGCCGGCGATGGGAGGAATGTGATCCAGCTGGGCCATGAGCGCTGGCTTGGACTGGGCGTACGTATCGGTGAGGGTGTGGACGACGCCGGCGGCGACCTGGAGCGCCTTGTCTGGCGGTGGAGGCGCGATGACAGCCGAGCCGGTGTCGATGCGACGGGCGAGGACTGCGCCGACGTAGGCATCGACGTTACCCAGGTTGGAGAGAACAAAGTCGTTGAACTGCGACATGTGCGGCTCTTTGCCGCCAAACTCGACCTTGTTGGCCACGTTCTGGAGGATCTTAGCAACAACGACCAGCGACTTGCGGGTGGTGGGCTGGACGAGCGGCGTCATGCCCATTGCCGACGGCATCGAGACCGCCGGGCAGAGTGCGCGCAGGAAGACAAAGGCGAGGACGGACTTGGTTGCTGGATCGTCACCAAACTTGGCACGGACAAGTCCGTAGAGAGCCTGCAGGATCTGGACCATGCCGTTAGGCATCGCCTCGACCGCCGCCAGCGACGCCGACAGCATCTTCTGCGCAAGTGCCATGGCGGCGTACTTCACCACGCCGATCTCGAGCGCGTCGTCGAGATCGCCGTCGCCGTGCTGGCGGACGTCAAGCGACTCGACCTCGACAACGGCGTCGGTTGCGCGTGCATCCCCCTCGTTGTCACGGACAAAGATGGCAACCAGCTCGCCGACCGACGCCCACACAAACTCAAGGCCCACCGCACGGGTGTAGGCTTGCCACAGTTTGGACGCAGCAGAGTTGGCCCGGAGCAGGGAACCGGTGTCCTGTGCAGCGGCAACCTCGACTGACAGCGCATCAATGACAACAGCCTCGGCAAAGCCGGGCGCCATGTACAGATACAGCATCGCCCGCAGGAGGCGGTCACGGTCGGCAAAGTCCGAGACCTCGACAAGACTCCGCGCGAGGGCAAACCGGTCCTCGCCACGCTCAACTTCGCCATCGCCTTCAAAGACAACGCCCAACAGCAGCGCGGCGCACGCCCGTGCCCGAGTAAGCGCCGACATGTTGCTCGTGGCAAAGTTGTAGTAGCGGAACGGTGCAAAGTCCGGCATAGTGATGTGGCGCGCTGCGCGCCGCCGCCACATCACATACGCCAGCACGGCCACAACAAGTAGACCCAGAAAGGCGAGGGCGCCCATGGTCGAGGCGGCAGCCACAGCAGCTTTGGACTTGTCAGTCCGCGGCTTCTGCACTGTGCTACTCAGGCACGAGTCGGGAATTGGCGTGGATGTGTTGGTACACGCCGAGCTTTCCCCACTGCACACCAGCGACGGCTCACACGGCAACGCACCGGCAGCCCGGCACTCAAAGCCGGCCGGGTGCAGCTCGTCGATGGGACAAGTCGGCGCCGTACCCGAGCATGTCTCTGGTGCATCACATGGCTGGCTAGAGGCCCGGCAGACAACGTCGGTACCCAGCAGCTGGTTTGCCGGGCAGCCGCTCGACGCGCCATCACAGACCGAGTTGGCCACGCACGGGAACGAGCTCGATGAGCACACGGTGCCGGCGGCAAGCTTGGCATCTTCTGGGCAGTTGGCCGACACGCCATCGCAGGCCTCGGCCGGGTCACATGGCCCGCCCGACGCCCGGCACTCGATGCCTGCAGACTGCGGCAGGTTGGCAGGGCACGCAGGGCCTGCGCCAGAGCAAACAGAGTCCTGTTCACATGGTCCGGATGCAGCCGAGCATAGGGTGTCCTTGGGCAGAAACCCATCGATGGGGCAGGAGCCGGAAACGCAAGTCTCCGGCACGTCGCAGTGCGGGCCTGATGCCGGCACACCTCGGCAGAGCGTGCCATCGGGGAAGGAAACCGAGGCCGGGCAGGACTTGGCGACTCCATCACACGTCGCGTTGTATGCGCACGACGACTGCGGTCGACAAAGCTCACCAGAGGCCTTGACGGCATCGCTCGGGCACGTGTCCGACACGCCGGTGCAAAACTCGGGCTGATCGCAGCTGTCGCTTGCTGGGCGACAGACAAACGTTGCCGGCTGGAAGCCAGACGGAGGACAGATCTTGGCCACGCCGTCGCACGTCGACTTTTTGGCGCATGGTTGGCTAGCGCTGCCGCACTCGGTGCCTGCGGCGAGTGTGACATCGGGGGGGCATGCCGGCGTGATGCCATCGCACTGCTCGGCCGCGTCACACAGATCGGCGGCGACGCGGCAGACGGTGCTAGCAGCCCGCAGCATGCACGTGCCGACGTCACAGCACAAGCCTGACTCGCACTGCTCGCCAGCTTCAACCACATTGTTGCCGCATCCTTTGTAGACAATCGAGAACGACTCGGACGTCGTGTCCGGCACCGGTGAGATCGTACCGGGGCTGGAGCTATCCGAGAGCCCGACGCTGATCGAGTAGCGCCAGACAGTGGGAACCGGCTGGCTGGGAACGACAAAGTGGATCTCCGAAGAGCTCACAACAGTGACCAGTGCTGGCGTCGGTGACGCTGGTGTGGCCGTGTACGCCGTCGTTCCGGCCAACACCACCATATCGCCCGTCGGGCGTGGTTCAAACCCGGTGCCGATGATGGTAACCACGGTGCCAGCATCAACCATGGTTGGCGAGACGTCCGTGACCGTCACCGTGATCGAAGTGTGGACAAAGACATCAGCACGGAAGAGAAACGTCTTGCTTCCGCCCGAAACGCTGCGCGAGGCAAAGCCGACGCCAAACTGGCTTCGACGGATGGCGGTGGCCGTCAGCGCTGCTCCCCAACTATCAAACTTCCCACCGTACGACGCCAGGCCGTAGTCCATACTTCCTGAAGATCCCAGGTAGCGTGGATACGAGACGACGGTGTTTCTCTTGTCGACGCCCAGCTGGCCCGTGACAGTGTCATACAACACAATGGCATCGTCAACCGACATCGCAGACGTGTCCTCGATCGTTCTGTACCAATCAACAGAAACGCCATCAATGGTCCTTGAGGGTGGCAGCGACGAATCAAAGCCAAGATCATGCTGGACAAAGAGCCTTGACACGCCATTGCTTGAAGTCTCCGCATAGCTCCCAGAAGACGAAGACGGCACGCTTCCGCTGCCCGACCACGACACGCCTGATCCGGTGACAAAGGCACTACCACTGCTTGATTGATACACCTCACGAACAACGAGACCAGAACAGCAAGTCGGCATACTTGAAACAATCGTCATCGTCACCATCGCAATCATCATCATCGTCATCGTCATCGTCATCGATGACTCTCCACGAGTCATCACCTTTCCAGGCTGCGCCTCACAGGTCCGCCACCACCAAGTCGAAATGGCAGACACTTTCGAAACAACATAAGCAACCGCACGAAAGGGGGGGGGGGAGGGGGAGGGAGGGAGGGGGTGGATGAGGGAGGGCGTGCTTCTATGTTTGCTTGCAGGTGCTTGCAGGCTTCGGCGGCAACAGCGAGACAACAAAAGTGGAGTGGGTGGAGATTGGCCCGAGAAAAAGAAAAAAGCAGTGCTACCGCAAAAAAACGGAACGGGGCGGTGTGCGGTGTGTGGTGTGCGGTGTACTGTGGCCATGGCTGTGGCGATTGTCCCTCAGTTGTTGCCTCTTCTGCCGATTTAATCGGAGCCTTTGGCTTGGGTCTCAAAGCTAGAGATCAGCCCAGCGCCAGTCGGAGAGGCCAGCGCCAAAGGAGGCGCGCCAGTTGCGGCGGGACATGGACTGGCGACGGGCACGCTCCGAGTCGAGGTACTCTTGCCACTTTTCGACAGTGAGCGACTGGAAGGCCGAGACGAGCGGATTGAGCTCGACTGAGTTCTTTGTGGCGTGGAGGTCGTTGCACGCCTGCTCCTCCTCGAGTGCGTAGAGGTCCTGCTTGAGGACAGGGACGAGGTAGAGCTTGTGGATGCCGGCGACGATGGGCGGGCGGATCCAGTTGGGGATGTCGATAGGCCCAGCCTTCATCTCCTTCCATGTAAAGATGTAGAAGGTGCGGGTGCGCTTCTCGTCGATGGGGAGGAGGAAGCAGATGTGGGCGTACTTGTTGGCCAGGTCGGAGCGCTGGTACGGGTACTGGTACTCGAGGACGATGGTATCCTGGCCGGTGTTGGTGCCGAGGATCTTGGCGCCCGGCGAGGAGGCCATGTCGGTGAGGTACTCAACGCGGACGGTGTCGCCGATGCGGGCGGTCGACTTGAGGTGAGGCCAGACAAAGGGACGGTACTTGCGGTGGAGGAAGGCATGCATAAAGTCGCAGTTGTTGTCGACAATGAGCGTCCAGTGAGCGTTGACCGAGAGGTCGACAATCTGGTGGGCCAGAGCCGGGTTCTCCACCAGATGCGGGATGGACGGCAGCGGAACCGAGTCGGCCAGCGCCGGGTCACCTGGAAAGACAAAGATGAGGCCGTACTTGACGGCGATGGGGTAGGTGCGGACGGAGATCTTGGGCAGGTTCGGGCCCGAGACGCACGGCGCGCCGTCGACAGTCTCGCCGGGCGTGGGATCGACAGGCATGCTCTCCTTGCGGAATGCGTCCGGGATCTCGTGCGCGATCTTGACGACCTTGCCGTGCTCGTCGTATGCCCAGCCATGGTAGCAGCACGCAAGCGTCTCGCCCTCGACAAAGCCGGCCGAGAGGCGGAGCTGGCGGTGGGCGCAGCGGTCCTCGATGGCATGCAGCTTGCCGTTGGCGTCGCGCCAGATGGCGATCGAGGTCTTCCAGAACACGGCGGCCACCACCTCTTCGTTCTTCACATTGGCGTCAACCTCGACGGCGTACCAGAAGTTACCCGACGGGCCGGCGAGCCGTGCCTTGGCCCGCTTGGGCAGACCGGGCGTCGAGAACCTGAGCGACTCGGCCAGAGGCGACTCAATGTCTTCTCCAGGCACGCCGCCCTTGCCGCCCTTGCCGCCCGTCGCACACACATGGACGCCCGTCGTCAAGCACTGCTGCCGCACCGGGCACGGACCGCAATGGCCGGCTGTTCCAGGAGCTGCGCTCGGGTCGACCTCGGACAGATCCTCCAGGTCCACCAGCGGCGGGCCTGTGCATGGTCCGAGACGAGCCGAGAGTCGGAGTAGTTGGTTGACCACATGAGTCGTCGTCGCACACACCACCATATCGAGTAGCGGAAGATGAGGGAGTGAGTAGGGCGAGGTAGGAGAGCAGAGCCATCATCATCATCACTATGGTCGTCATCATGGTCGTCATGGTCACCATCATGGTCGTCATCATGGTCGTCATCATGGCCGTCATGGTCACCATCATGGTCGTCATCATGGTCATCATGGTCACCATCATGGTGGTCATCATGGCCGTCATGGTCACCATCATGGTCATCATCATGGTCATCATCATCACCCCCATCATCATCACCCCCATCATCATCATCCCCATCCACCCCACCCCCACCCCCACCCCCACCCCTTATCATCATCATCATCCTCATCATCATCATCATCATCATCATCATCCTTATCATCCTCATCGATTGATAAAAATTGTCCGATGCCATCACCAGTCGAATGGCAGCTGACCAACGATGGTGGGTGATCAGAGACGGCAGCAGCCAGAGGGGGGGGGGGGGGGGGCTGGTACGGGGGAATGCAAACAGTGAGACATACCAGAAGAAGAGGCCGAGGTTGGTGAAGGGTGGACACCATGGGGTGTGGGTGTGGAGGGGCCAGGTTGGTCGAGGGTGGCGGTAGGAGCAGCACTGGTGGTGGCGGTGGCGGGGGTGGCGGTAACACTTGCAGCAGCGGCGGAGGCAAGGTGACGACGGGTATGACGATGGAGAACAGCAAGGGGAGGTGACGACTCGGGGGCAAGCTGTTGAAGCAACTTGAACGTCCGCGCCTTGGCAGAGCTCATCTCTCTCTCTCTCCTCCCAAAGTGCTGGCAAAGTGCAGTGCTAGCAACAAAGACCTCCTGTTCCTGCTCAACACGGAAGTCCGCCATTGCCAAAAGGTGCTTTGCACTGGTTCACAAACTCGGCCCAACGCGGCAAATCGCACACGTGGCACGACCCAACCTGACCCGGTTGGCCGACTACCATTTGGCAGCCATGCACATCGCATGGCAACCTCAATCGCCCCGCCAATTCCATAGATTTACAGAGGGGGGGGGGGGGGGGTGCAAGAGGCTGCCGTTCGCAAGGTTCACGTCCATGGTCATACTCTCATTCCTGTGACTGCGACGGGTCGAGGAGCTGTGATATGGGTCCGAGCGAGGCGGTGCGCGGAAGCGAGGCCGGCGGCGATGGCGCGCCGGTCCACTCCATGGGGACGCGAGCCTCGATAAGTGAGTTGTTGCGAGCGAGAACTGGTCCGCCCATGCCGCTGCCAACACCCGAGGTGGCGCGCGGTGATGGCGGCGGCGAGTCGAGCGCGAGCGGCGGCGGAGGCGGCGGCGCGGGCGCCGACGGCAACGAGTCGTCGGGCGAGGGCGAGGACGGATCGGGGGTGAGCTTGGCGAGCGTCTGCGAGAGCGTCTCCATCTTCTCCTGTGACGGGAACTTGGTGACAACCTGCTGGCGGCCGACGACTCTACCGCGGATCTGCCCTCGGAAGATCGACGACGCCGGCTGGAAGCCACGGCCGGTCCCGAGCTCCAGTGCCGAGTCCGAGTCGAGCAACTCGAGCCGCTCGCCGTGGAACATGACTGAGCCGGACGGGCTCGGCTCGTCGAGGTAGTCGTCGTGGGTGTCGTCGTCGAGGCACGACCGTGCAGGCCGACCACCAGCCACCGATGAAAGCGCCGCCAACGACGATGCCGCGGTGCCGGTCAGCACCTTGCGTCGCTTCATCGACGGAACCGTGCCGACCTCGATGGCCAGTACGTTGTCGTCGACGCGGAGAACTGATGACGGCGTGTTGGCCGCAGGCATGAGCGTCGGCCCGGGCGGCGACGGCGGCTTGGAGCTCGCCGACGACGCCGCTGGAGACACCTTGGGGCTCGCGCCGACTACCCCGCCGGACATCACCGCCGCTGCTGCTGCCTGCATCGACTGCGACTGCGAAATGGCCTCGGAAAAGACCTCGAGCGACGCCGTGTCCTGCGACGCCGACGCTGCTCGCTTACGCTTGCGCGACTGCGACCGTCCGGGCGAGCGGGCGAGCGCAATCAGCGCCTCGTGGACCGCCGAAGACTCGAGCATCGACGACGACGAGGCCGAGCCACCGCCGTCGAGGCGCGGATTGGCCAGCAAGTCTTCCGACGAGAGCGAGGCTCGCGAGTCGGACGCCGAGCCCTCATTGGCGGCGCCCGACCTGGAACTCCGCGAACTGCGCCGGCCAGTACGGACCCGTCGCCGCCGGACCCGCCGCTTGCCCGACCCGACAGCGCTCTCCGGCTCGAGGCCGGATGCCTCGGGCAGCGCCGCGATCTTGGACACCACACCTCCGCCGGCAGCGCTGTTGAGCGACGGCCGCTGCAGGACGACTCGCAGCTGGGTGCGCTTGGTCTTGTCCGACGGCGCCGAGGACTTGACCCTCTTGCTAGGCACGACCTTGGTGCTTCCCGCCAGCGACTTGGTCCGGGCGCTCGCTTTCTTGAACGCTGCCGTGCCCTTGGCCGGCTTGGACTCGTCGGCCGCCTTGGCCGCTCCCGACGACGCCGACATCTTCTCAGCCAGCGCCTTGGCGCGGCGCTTGCGCCGCTTCTGCGCCGACGCGACGGCAGCCACAATCGTGGCCGGGTTGGGCTCGGGCAGGCCTGCGGCGCGGGCCTCAAGGGTGACCTGGGTGGCATGCGCAGCACGCATGGCACGCTCGCGGGCCTTGACAAACGCCTTTTCGCCCTTGACCGCCTCAACTCGGGCAAGGTACTCGATGCGCTCCTTCTCGACCAGCTTGGGATCGTCAAAGTGGGTGCGGGAGACGAGGGGGTGAGGACCTTGGACTTTTTGAGGGTCAGCGACTCGCGGTTCGACTCGTCGACCTCGAGGCAGTGAAAGATGGCGTACTCGGGGTTCGAGTCGCCGTCAGCAGCGAGCCAGATCTTGCGAAAGACGTACTTGCGGTCCTGCCGCCGGCGATACTGGACACTCAGCTGGTCGTCAAGAACCTGCTTTGCGCCACGCGGGGCGATCCATTCAAAGTGCTTCTCGCGGCCCATGCGACGAAAGCGCGGCAAGCCGCCCTTGAAGAACACAATGTGGCGGGCGTAGCTCTCAAAGTGGCAGGCGCCAGCACCGGCCGACTTGAGCTCGTCGCGCTCAAAGGTGGGAAAGCAGGCAGTCTTGGGCCCGCCCCGCTTTTTGTCCATCAACAGCTCGAGATAGAGTCTGTAGTCGAGGAAGCAGTTTGTCTGCGGATCGACGTAGAGAACGCCATCCGGCGGCCGGGAGATCACGATGGAGAACGGGGTTTCCGCCACGGCCTTCTTCTTCCTCTTCTTCCTCTTGCTCGCTCCGCTTGCCGCCCGAGCCTTGCTTGCGCCTGCTCCACGCCCTTTGGGCCCACTTGCGGCTTCACTTCGCCTGCTTGTGGTAGCCGTGCTCATGGTCCTGGCTTCTTCCGAGCGGCCGCAGTGGCAAAGACTCGGTGGCGGTCGGCAGTGGCCGGTGGGTGTGGGTGGGTGGCCGGTGGCCGGTGGGTGGCGGCGGCGACGGCGCCGAGTGGCCAAAAAAAGGTCGCGAACCGGCGGGAGGGGAGACCAGCTAAACCGACGTGGCGTCTGGTGTCTGCCCGTCACACAACAGCTAGTGGCCTCTGACGCCCAACAGTAGGCTTCTGCTGTTGCTCAGAGAGCTGGTTGCCTATCAACCCCGCCCCCGGACGAGCCGTGCCTGCCCTTAACCCCCGTCTGACACTCGAAACCGACCAAACGCCAAAACTGCGACCTTTTTTCGCTTGGCCGCCCAAATCCGAGGGGGGGGGGGGGGCAGCAGTCAAAACAACTTAGATCGTTTGGTTTGATAGCGCCGTGCTGCGAGGAAGCAGCCGAGGCTAGACCTCGAGGAGGAGATCTTGGAGGAGCGGGATCATGGATGATGGGGTGCGAGTGTGGCTGAACCGCTTGATGAGCTCACCGGTGCGGCTGAAGACGATCATGGTCCACGGTGCCTTGAACGCCTTGCCTACCATCGACGACGCCTTGTCCTTGATCCAGGCAAAGAGCGGATGCGCATCCGAGCCATTGACGGCGGCAGCCTGGAGGAGCTGAAAGGTGACCCCATACGAATTGGCAATGGACCGGATCTCGGCCGCCGAGCTCGGCTCGGCCGCGTCAAATTCGCCGGTCGAAGGGACGCCGAGGACAATCAGGCCCTGTTCGCTGTACAGCTCGTGGATAGCTTGCAGCTGGAGGAAGCGTGACTCGGCGAGCTTGGACCGCGTCCCGATGTTGGTCACAATGACCACTTTGCCGTGGAGGGCGGAAAAGTCGTAGGCGTCGCCATCGAGAGTGGTCATCTCGAACTGGTACAGGCTCAGCGGCGATGACGACGGCGCTCCGGCCTGCGGCATGCACAGGTGGTAGAAGAGCGGCTCGTCCTTGATCGGGTGGCCGCGGACAACGTGCTCAAACACCTCGGCCTTTTCCATCCGCACCGCCAAGCCAAGCGCAGCCTCGCGCGAGCACCCAAGCTCAGCCGCCAGCCAGTCGACAAGCTCCGAGCCGAGGAAGCACTGCTTGTAGGTGCGAAGCCGGTACTTGCGGTCCTTGATCTCCACCGGTGGGCGCACAGCGTCGCCGACACCAGCCGCTCCATCATCTGGAGCGTCATCAGCGTCGTCGTCATCAACACCATCAGCATCGTCGGAAAAGACATCCGGATTGATGCCGAGGGCGCGGATGGCAAGGTCGATGACTTCAAAGTCGGAGATGTCGTCCACATCGGCCGGCTTGTCTGCACCTGGCACCGGCACACCATCTCCAGCATCGGTCGAGTCATCGCAAAAGACGTAGAAGAGGGTAGCATCCCGAAACGGCTTGTCCTTGTCAACCACATGGCGGACAAGACCTGCGTCGACGAGTTCCTGTCCCACCAAGGTGGCCTTGGCCCGAGCATCGCTATGACGAAACTCCAGAATGTTGTAGAAGGCCAGGATCCAGTCAACCATCTCTGATCCCACAAAGCATTGTCTATACTGCCGCAGGCGCCATCTCCGGTCACGGATCTCCACGCCAAGTGCCGGTTCGCGGGCAAAGGCCACTATGTTCTCAATCTGGAGGGAGGTGGGGGGTGAGGTTGAAGGAGTGGGATGGGGGGAGGGGGGGGGCGGGGGGGGGCGTGGGGACGTGTGCTTACTTCATGGGGTGGAACAGGGTACGGTAAGTTGGAGAGGTCGACCATGGTGTGTGTCTTCTTGTCGTGGAAC